GTGAGGGTTCACGACCAATCTCGTTCCCAGCTAAAAAAAAAAAAAAAAAAGAGGAAAATTTTTAACTAAGGACTCAAAAGCAATGTCAAATGTTAAGAAAATAACGTAATACGTACCGCACCGTGACTCGGACAAGTGATAGGGGCCAGAACTGTAGGCCCCTCAAGCACCACGACTTGAGCTCCACGGATACGTCCGACGGAAGGCACTCGCCGGCAAATAAACAATAAGATGGACTGTAAGAGAAAGCAAATTAAATGGATATGTGTACATATGTATCTAGGTACAGGAAAACTTACTACAAAAAAAAAAAAAAAAAAAAAGGGATAATACTCACATGCGAGCAGCTGCAGCACCTCAGAAGATCTGCCATCACAGAACCTTCGAGGATGGAACATACACTACCGTTGACCGCCGCAAACACGGTAACACGAGTGTTATCGTACGGTAGGTTTGCGAAATCACGCAGCGGGCGCACAAAATCAACCAGATTCACAGAAGAAAACGCCATTTTCGCGGGGTAGTACAAGAATAACAAGGTTATAAGGAAAGTAGAGAAAATAACGCCAAATCCAACACGTATTGAGAACACAAGAGAAAAGGGCAAAAGTCACTGGAAATCAAGTAGCGAAGTTGACACTACAAAGTCAAAGTAATCACTGACGTAATATAGCCAAACTATCCAAAAATCCTTACTACCCGCTCCTTTCGATGAAATAGAAAAGGGGAAAATTAGCATGGGAATAATAAACGAGGGAAACTTGCAGGGGCAGCATGTTTGACAATTGCCGATCTGTAGTACCACATGCGTCTTCCTGTTGTAAATGACTCACAGTGCCGAACGTGCCGATAGACAGACAGAATACAATAATTTTGTCGCATTGCGATAGGTTGTTATTTATATATATATATACACGTACGTACACCTCGGTCAAGCACACCTTAAATATAAGTTAAATGTAGAGAATAAGGAAATACAAAAAAAAAAACATGTACAAGTAGAGCCACATTCCTGACTTGACTTGCAAAAGTTCGATCTTATCCGTCCTTAAGAATCATTGTTTCGGGGATTAACATTGCTGGTACGAAATATTAGGATTTAGAAGGGGTAATCGGGAACCGTATAATGGTGACATTCCGAGGAATTTTTTTCTTTGTTCTACTCCTTTTCTCCTTTTCTCTCAAATAATCTGGAAATTAATTTACAAAGAGGGAAATGTAGGTATCAAAAAAAAGTATCTATTCTATGTTTTAGGGGGGAAGCCACTCCGATAGGAAAGCAACCGGGAAAAGTAGAGCTATTCGAGAAGAATCCGGGGATATTAGTGGAAAATCTGGGGCAGGCCCAATCAGTTGCGTCTACTTGGAAAATAATATGGTATGTAGATTGGGATCAAAGAATCAGAGAAACGGATGCATTTGCGAGAGCAAGCAATCAAGTGGAATGGAAATGCAGAGTAACAATAAGCAAAGAAGACGCCTGCAGAAATCGCATAAGAATGGCTACTCACAAGACCATAAAAGCGCTGCAAGGTGTCGAAACAGCGTACAGGGCAGTAGTAGGGCAGGAAGTTCGCAGCCAAGTAGAGACAGTACAGGTACTCCAGGGACAGATATCGGAATCTAACAAGGACAAGATACGGGAGTTGACGGAATTGAATTTGACAGGTACGACCGATATAACGAAATATCTCAAAGAACAAATAAGAGTCTCTGCGTTCGGTGATCATGAACAAACAATGCAAATAATAAAAAATTATGAGGATAAAGCAGGAGATGTTAAAGAAGAAGGGCTTAAAATATTTACAGATTGGGTAAGCGGATATGATAGAATGCCAGAGATAATTCAAGAATTCGAGCAGCTGGCCGATAAACTAGCAGCGAAATT